GAGCTAAGAAAATGCTTATCTCCCTGAGCTTGGCCTTCATAATTCCATTCCATCACACAAAGGGAGCTTTGTTTTTTTATATCACTATGTGGCACAGAGAATAGTTGAGGTAAGCAGGGTTGGTGGCTAATATTTGGATGGGAGAACACCAAGTGTAGAGCCTAATCTAGGAAGTAAAAAAGCATCCCAGAAGAAGGCAGTGATAAATGACTTTTGTACTGTTGCACCCTATACAAAAACCTCCCCAGGACTTGAGCATGACTTGAAGGAGAATTTAAACTAAAATGTTCAATAAAGCTTTTTAGTCTGGTTGCCTAGGAGCTTATAGACATGTCAAAGTGTAACTTAATATAAGATTCTTAGACACATTTCTAGCCTGAAATGGACAAGTTTTGTGTGACTTGAATGAGAACTAATCAAGAGAAACTAAGTTGTAACTTACCTTCTTAGCATTATCAGAATGTAGATGGATGATACTATGATTATGTCTTGACAATTTCTGTTTAAAACCTGTATTTTTTATTATAGTTTCTGCATACATATGTGGTGCTCCATTGATTCTCAATGGCAACATACAGCCCTTGCAACCTCACTATGAAAGTGGAAAAAAAGTTGCCATAAGTTGCAACCTGAACTATTCTTTTATTGATGATACCACAATGATGACTATACAGTGTGAAGGCTATAATCTCTGGAATCCTCCTGCACAATTATGTGTCTGTAGGTATAAATCTAGACATGAAGTGCTCACTTCTGTTGCTTCTAATGCTGTAGTCAAGATGTGGTTATATAGGATCAATATGATTTAAATATTATCAGTTTTCATAAGGTGAATATTGAGTGGTTCTGTGTTTATTAACTTCCTATAACATATCTCTTTATAAGAATGAACTTCTAAATGATGTATTCAGTCCAGGTATCTTTCCCTACACTATTAGTAATATGTTTTAATGCAGGATGTCCTGATTGGGCATTCCAGTTATTTGTAGGAGAGTTAGAATATTGCACCTTACGTTTTTGTTGACAGTTTCTGCAAACAGAATATTGTAATGCATTGCTTGACAAATTCAAATGAATGTTTTGCTTGTATTGAAATAAAAAGTTCAGGAACAATGCAGACAAACCACTATAAGGAAGTAATGTTTCTAAGTCCCACAATAGTCATCTTGTCACTTTACCAGGCATAACTTTGGAAAAGGATATTTGGCTTTTGTGCCATTCTGTTTATCCCTGAATTCTACTTGCACTCTCTTTCCATTCTTGACTACCCTCTCACTTTGTTTGTATATTGCCAACAAAACACAACTTATATTGTAATTGTAATAGTTTTAAGCTCACGTATTAATGATTTTGGAAAAGAATATTTTTACATCAATTTCAGTATTTGTTTTATATAGTTTATAATACTTATTTGCATTTTTTAGTTAGAACTTCACCAGATACTTCTCACCTTTTTGTCTATCATGGAACAATAGTCCATGGGAGGAAAAACAAGTACAAACCTGGAGATGAGGTGGTTATTGAGTGCCATGCTGGCTATATATTGATAGGACCATCTAGGATTAAATATATTGGTGGGAAGAAATGGTTTCCTAGAGTCCCAGGTTGCCATCTGAGTAAGTATCAAGTTTGTGAATATATACCTGTACTAAGTAAACATTGTTTTAACTGCCTAGGAATTATTTGTCTTTTGCTGTTCCTTTTTTAAAATACAGTACATACTTCCATGAATTTTAAGATTATAGGATTCTAATCTGACAAAATACATTAAAGGCTGAAGAAACTTTCTTTTGCTTTCTTCATATAAAACCAAAGTACTACCTAATGCTGTGATCTGGGAAAAAAGGCTCTTTGCTCAGATAGGAGACAGTAAATAGCACCAAAGGATGCGTTCCCCCTCCATCTCCCTGTTCCCCTTGCTTCTTACGTGAACAGAATTCAGATTTTGCTTTGTTGTGCCAAGGTAGAACAGAGATTGGAAGTGCTGGTCAGCACATTTTAAACCTGCATATTTTCTGCCAACTCCTACACTGCATAACAACATTTTAGTGCTGCTGTGCTGAAGAACTTGTTGCTGCTATTATTACTGTTGTTGTTGTTATTATTAGTTGCAGTCAGCCAGATGTTTAGACTGGATTGGCATTTTTATCCACCTATCGAGTCCTTCCCAAGGACCTGGGATAGGCAGATGTTGTTGTTTGATAGTGTTAAACATATCGGCTCAGGATGTAAGCTGTTCCAAATAAAGTTGCTTTTTGCAATTGAC